GCTGTTTTAAGTGCTTTATAAATAAAGTGGTATGGTATGGTATGGTATGTATACGGCAAAGTGACATATTTATGGATTTTACCACTTTTTTGGACATATTTGAACTGATGTGATTTATAGGGCGGAGCGAAGTATACGGCGGACAATACGGTATTTGAGATGATTAATTGTAAAAACGTCTTGATTTTCCTTACATAGCTGAACAGTTCTTATTGGCCGGTGAAGCAGAGATCGTTTCATATAAAAGATAAATGATGAGGAAAAGGTCAAGCATGCTACTGAAAACAACAAGGCACAAGATGCAAGACTTGACCACCTCTTGTTGATTTGTGCTGGGTGACACACGTTCCCATAAAGCACTTGAAAATATTTTGTCTCAGATGTTTGACATTCTTCGTTCTCATGTCATTGTAATACGAGTGCCTGATTGCAGATTATTGGTGTCAGATTTGATTTGAGCTGCAGTTTTCTTTTTACCTCTGAGACACACTTGTAGACTAATCCATGGACCTGCATAAACTCATCAGGCTATAAGGCTCTGTGACAACAGAAAACAACAATGTCAGCTTGACCTTCCCCAAAAAGCAGGGAGGATGACATTCTCGACCGTCATCAATTTTTATTGCAGTTTTAACAAACAGGAAATTATGTTTGATCGTGCGATCGCTTTTGTGCATTGATAATATCTGTGTAAAACTGCAACACTGTTAATAATTTTGTGCCAGGAAAACATGCTGTAAAAGTGCCAACAACATCCAGCTAAATACTTTTTAAGCTGGGTGTCAGTGTAATGTGTATTATTCGCACTCATCATGATCAATACCTCTCCTGTGGGATGCATTGTCCTTCTGCTCATGTTGTGATGGGTTATATTAACAGTCCCATGTAATCGCTCCCACTATGACCAGTCAGTGAGGAACGGAAATAACTAGTTGTTTTGATATCCTAAAGGGATGTTTGATATGATATTGATATGATATGATGACATGTCTCGGGCAGTCCTTGACTCAGATCCACTCCTTCCTGTCAGCAAGCGGACCTTTCGATGGCGGCTCGGAACATGGAGGGGAGGAGCTGAAGCCTGGGCTAGAAGATTACTCTAAAAAGCTAATTTGTCTGGTCCAGCGCGTTAGAGCAGGTCAGGGTTTCACATGGATGAGAACAATGATAAGAGTGTGATCTTGTATTTTGCATGTTCTGAGAATTGTTGGTCTGCTCTCCAAAGCTTTGAAAATAAATCTGATGAACTGCACCTTGGTGGGAATCTCCTTTTTTCTACGACACTGGGTTCACAAAAAACCCAACAAAATGAAATAAATAAAATAACAAGGCAAATAATTTATATTTACTCCAATTGGCAGGCATTGACCTTATGTATGTGGCCTACAAGGCAAATATTTATTCTTTATCTGTCAGTGCAAAACATGAGTAAGAATGTTTCAAAATTATCTATTAGAAACAGAAAAGCAAGCATCAATCGTTTGTCTTTTTAAAGGAGAGCAGTTCGTTGTGATTTAGTTTCTGTTGAGCAAGTAGTCCACTCCTGGGAACAAACTAGATCTTTGAGCTGTTTGACTGCCTCTGCCAAGTTTGGAGTTATTTCAGTGACACCTCAGAACACAGCAGTATCTGTCCACTGATGGAGATCATTAAAATTAAACTAATCTCATCTGAGTCTGCAGAACTTTACAGTTTCACAGCACTTGGTTTAACAATTTGTGGTTGTCTCATTTACATCTCAGTGTAATACTCAAACGTTCAAGTAGCTCACATTAGGATACGTTTTCAATGAACTGACACTATGAAGTACCCGTAAAAGGTCATTTAAGTTTTTTTGCACTATAAGGTGCACCTGATTATAAGGCACATTAAGTGAAATAAAACAGATAAGTCAAACTTTATTCAGCTCATTCACAATAACCACATAAAATCAGTTCAAGGTCAGTAAGCACAACCTGAATTAATACATAAGGTGCACCTGATTATAAGGTCGATTTTTGAGAAAATTTAAGGATTTTAAATGCGCCTTAAGTAGTCCAAAAAATATGTTACTATGTCCCCCTTTTTAATTCTCCCAACAAGCTGAAACTTGTCAAGTTTTGGGAGAGTTGTTTAATCTTCTGTTACAGAAAGAAATTAAATAAACAAAACAAACACAATGGGAACAATGCAAAAGCAGAACATAAAATTAACTTGTAAACTACCTTCAATACATATCTAATAATGACAGGAAAATAAAAATAAAAAATTGGAATCAGCCACAAAAACTACAATTTTTGCTTTTCATTTAGGGGTCATTTCAATCTATTGGACCAAATCCAAGTTCTAAAATGTCTCAAGTAAAATCCTTGAACTGCACT